TCTCAAAAAAAAAAAAAAAATCCTTGCCAGATCAATACCAGAATCTTTGCCCATGGAACCCAAGTATCCATATTAATTGTAGCACTCCAAAGTGACTCCAAAGCACATCCAAGGTTGAGAACTACTGGTTTAGATGATTTATACTCAATTTTCAGTTGCAACCTTCTTCTACCTAAATGCTTTCTCAGCACCAACAAAAAAAGAGATTCCATTTCCTTGAACACTGTAGCAGTTTAATATTCTGTAGAGCTGTTGGCCTCTAGTAACAAATTTATGTATCAGCTCATAAATGAAGGCTTTTCATTCTCAGATGTTTATGCTAACTATGAACCTCCATCTTACATACTTTGCAAATGGGACATTAGGGAATTTAAATCTTTGCAATAAGAATGGCTTGTTAAATTGTTAGGTGATTATGGGTATTTGATTCTAGGTCCAATGTGCAATAACCATGTAGCCATGTGTTTTGCCTTCAGCACCTTCACAACTTTGTTGCAAATGAATGTTTACTAACAAGATAGAAGAGAAGTTTTAAATAAAGCTCTCAGCAAAAGCTCTTAAAATTTGGCCACAAACTGAAAAAGAAATAAGTACTTAAAAAATTTTACCCCTTTCTAATTAGTCCATCTTCATCCTGAACCACTTCTCTTCTTTAATCAAATTTTAAACTTAGCCAAACTGAATTGTTCTGCACAAAGAAAAATCAGTTGCTATTCCAGCTACATTCTCAAATACATTTAACATATTAATTTCACTCTGTACAAGTTTTTTTCTTGACATGGATATCAAAAAGAATCTTTAAAAGATTTCACCTTTTCAAGCAACATATCAAATACACAATAAATACTCGTTAAGTGGCAACAATAAATCTTTGTTCTATGGCTGAAATCTCCTGCATCCTATGAGTATCGACAATCTTAACTCTCAAGAAGCAACCCAATAACCCCAGCCAGCTGCTTACTGTCCCTAATTTTATTAGGTTTAAAACAAAATATACATATAGCAATAACCCAAAAAGTACAAATATTTCACTTGCCCTCATCAATTTTTATGTATCTAAAACCATACAATTTATACTTTCATACAGAAAGATATTTGTATCTCTTCTAACAAAAGAAAATCTCAGCTCGTGTTTGTTGAATTATTAGTTCAAAAGTTATAGTGAAGAGAAATAAGATTTATAAGTTAAAATAGGAATTAATGTTAAACTCTTCCACAACGAAACCTTCAAAACATTGCCAACCTGCAGTTTTCAGCACAAGGTCTTATTATTTAAAGTCCCATGGGGGCAATTATCTATAATGAGATTAAGAATACTCTTAACCTGTTTCAGGTGGGTAAGTAAACATTTTCTTTATAGCCCCAAAAAAGAGTTTGAGGCTTAGATTGTTGCATGATGTAAACAGTGTGAAATTAATTTTTTTTCTGATAGTATCTACAGTAGTATAAAGTTATAAAATAAAAGGATCATTAATCACTTCTTTGTTTTTCTAGAGTTTACGACAGGTAATTTTCATAGTTGAGGCCTATAAGAGTAAATGGCAAGATTCTTTTACGAGATACTTTCTCAGAAGGCCAAAATATGAAACCAGATACCAAAAAAGATGCACATTTACTATTATGTTTAGACCGTCCTTACTGACATAGGTATAATTAGAAATAGATTTACCTTCCCTCAATCTTTAGTGAAGAGATTGAGAAAACTTTACTATAATTTTGAGTGTAAAAAACCAAAAGACAAAAAAAGCGCAAAAGACTGTAATAGCCATGGGAACTGTAAGCCAAAAAATAATACAAAATGAGCCAATAGAACACATCTCTTAAAATCTTCTTTTTAAGTTACCCAACTGTCCCCAAAAGTTATTCTGATTTTGTACCATGTAGTGGTTTTTAAGAGATTGAACTAAAACAAAGCAACCTCTTTGTCCATTTTTTTTTTAGTTTTTTTTTTACACACATATTGTATATACAACTTTTAAAATAGCTGCACAATTTTATATCTCACTTTTAGAGAAGTGCAGTCCAGGCAGACCATGCTTCTCAATATATTAAAAATATTAAATAAAACCCAACCAGTTTCATACTTTTCTAATAGTCAAGCTGGCTGGAAAAAAAGGACTGGAGAAAGAACAGGCAGTTGTAAGATGGGACCAATCTTTCTTCACAAACATACCACTTAAAAATCTTGCTATTTCTTTATCTTACCCCTTTTACAGCATCTCTAAAATCTCACCCTTAAAGTTGGAAATAACACATTGCTAACTTAGAGACAAAATCTGTTGCAACATGCATATGTCAACTGCCCACTCAACCAACTGCAACCCTGAGGATTTTTCTGGCCCAGTAGAAAGAGGAAACACTAAGATGATCTGCTGTAGAGTTGCTTCTCCAGTTTACAATTTCATGTGTTTTTCAGGATGTTTCTTGGACATGCACGTATGACACTGTCACTTCATGGTTCTATTTTCCATAAGAAGATCTCTCTTCCATTCTGTCTTTCATCCCAAGAAAGCCACTGTCATCCATCCAAAGGTTTTCCAAGGTAAACCAAAGTCACTTCTGTATTGCCATATACAGCAGAAACTGCTGGATATAAGCAGACCTTTGGAAGTCCTCTAAAGGCAACCCCCAGGAATTCATATCCACGTTCAAAAGCTAAAGTCTTATCTTCCATGTCCAAGATGACTCGAATTCTTTCTCCTATCTGCAAACAGACATCAAAAGGTTAAAAGAAAATCCACTAAGGGTATAACTAGAAGAAACATGATACAAATCAAGAAGGTGGAAATGCTATTAAGAATATGTATCCTAAAAGTTACCCAGAAAATCAGAAGGGAACTTTCTAATCAGGGAGAAATATCTATAAGGAAGAAAATATATCAATCTTATGATAATGCTTATGTTTATTCTGATAGTTTTTTTAAAAATGGAGTCTACATTTAATTACTAACAATTTAACAAATTAACAAATGAAATAGATTATTCAGTCGTAAAAAGAAATGAAATTTTGGGGCTGGGTGTGGTGGCTCACACCTATAACCCTAGCACTCTGGGACGCCAAGCCAGGTGGACTGCCTGAGCTCACAGGTTCAAGACCAGCCTGAGCCAGAGCAAGACCCCATCTCTAAAAATGGCCAGGCATTGTGGCAGGCGCCTGTAGTCTCAGCTACATGGGAGGCTGAGATAAAAGAACTGCTTGAGTCCAAGAGTTTGAGGTTGCTGTGAGAATGACACCATGGCACTCAACTGAGGGCGACTCTATCTCAAAAAAAAAAGAAAGAAAGAAAAGAAAAGAAATGAAATTTTGGTATATGCTAGAACACGGGTGGACCTTAAAAATACTATGCTAAATAAAGTAAGCCAGACACAAAACGATAGATAGTATGATTTATGTGAGGTACCTAGAATAGTAGAATAAAGGTTATCGGGGGCAGAGAATAAGAAAAATGGGTAGTTATTGCTTAATGTGTACAAGGTTTACATTGAGGATGAGAAAAAAATTGGGCGTATAGTGGTGATAGTAACAAAACATTGTGAATGTTTAATATTTCATGCCTCTTAGCTGTGTACTTACAAATGGGTAGAATAATAAATATATTATGCATGCATGCTTTACCACAATAAAAAAAAATCACAGTAATAAAACACGTAGTTTTAAGGTTTTGAAAGCAGTTAGGTTGGACACTTAGGTTCACAAATTCATCCTTGCAAAAATGCTACACACCTCAATGCTGAATATACACAGCAAAATACAGTATATACCATATGCATACACACACACACGGAGGCAGACGGTCCTAACATTTGTAATCAAAAGTCAAAATTTAATACTTATTGACTATGACAACCCCTGCTGTTGTCATTTACTTTCCTTCACTATATTTACTATCACCAATAACTGCCAATACATCTGTTTGTTCCCTCTCCATGCTCAACTCATCTTATGGACCCAAAACCCTTCAAATCATCACTACCACCACTGTTACCAACAAAACATGAACAGCAACAAAACAGAAGCTAATATTTGTTGGATATTTGTTTTGTGTTTTATTGGTATTATTCCATTTAATGTTCAAATAAATTCTAGGAATTATCCCTACTTACAGAAGATGAAACTAAGTTAGAACTACTCCTGGTGAAATCTGCAAAGTTTGTTTCACCTCTGAGTATATGGCATTATAAAAGCATAAGGAGCAAAAGGAGAAATCTTACTAGCTTTAGGTGTCAGAGGGCAAAAAGTTGGAGATGACAGAGCAACTAGAAACTCAGAGGACGAACTCCAGAAGTGACAGAAAGGATTAAGTCCCAAAACCTGAGAATAAACTCTGCCCAAATCTTTATGTGACCACTGTATTACAAAAGCACAGGGGAAACCAGGCCGAAAAAGAAGCAAATGTGAAAAACTGAGCAAAGACATTAGCTGATGCACACCACAGCAGGTGACAGGGTACAGGTCTGTCCAGGGAAGTTAACTGCATACCAGGACAAGAAAATCTACACTCTTCAGAATAGTGTAGTTTCTAGAGAAACAAAACAGTCCAGAGCTGCTACTATATATTATCTACCTGTCTCTAGTTTTCATTTAAAAAAAACCAAACTACTAAATGTGAAAATAAGTAGGAAGTGTGATTCATACTCAAGGGGAAAAAAAGCAGTAAACAGAAACTGACTCCAAGTAGACCCAGACATTGGATTTGGCAAAGAATCCCAAGCAGTTATTATAAACACATCTAAAGAATTAAAGAAAAATACAGTATTTATGAGTGAATAAATAGAGCATCTCCAAAGAGAAAAGGACACTACAAGGAAGAATCAAGTGAAAAACCTAGAGTTGAAGAGCACAGTAAGAAAAATTCAGTAGCCCACCTCAATAGAGAGTTCACAGTAGAAGAATCTACAAATTTAAAGATACAGCAATCAAAACTATCTAATCCAAGGAAGAGAGAGAAATAGGTTGGAAAAAACAAACAAACATAGTTTCAAAGGCATAGGGACAAGGACAGTATTAAGCAGTCCAACAATTACATTAAATGTAAATAGACTAAACACTCAAAAGGCAGAAACTTATTATAAGACTAGGTTAGATAAAAAGCAAGACCCAACCACATGCTGTCTGGGAGACCCACTTAAAGTGCAAAGATTGACTGAAAATAGGCTTGGTGACTGCAGCTCAGTGGTTAGGGTGCCCGCCCTGCTAAACAACAATGATAAATATAGCCCCAAATAGACGGGTGTTGTGGAGGCTGAGGCAAGGGAATTGCTTAAGCCTAAGAATTTGAGTTTGCTTTGAGCTGTAACACCATAGCACTCTACCAAGGGCAACATAGTAAGACTCTGTCTCCAAAAAAAAAAAAAGACTGACTGAAAATAAAAGGATACAATAAAAGGTACTTTGCAATAGTAAGTGAGCATAAGAAAACTGGAGTGGTTGGTAAGTGAGCATAAGAAAACTGGAGTGGTTGGCTCGGTGCCTGTGGCTCAAGTGGCTAAGGCGCCAGCCACATACACCTAAGGTGGTGGGTTCGAATCCAGCCCGGGCCGCCAAACAACAATGATGGCTGCAACCAAAAAACAGCCGGGCGTGTGGCAGGTGCCTGTGGTCCCAGCTACTTGGGAGGCTGAGGCAGGAGACTTGTTTGAGCCCAGGAGTTAGAAGTTGCTGTGAGCTGTGATGCCACAGCACTCTACCCAGGGGGACAGCTTGAGGCTCTATCTCAAAAAAAAAGAAAACTAGAGTGGCTATATTAATCAGACAAAACAGACTTGAAGACAAGGAATATTAACAAGAGTTAAAGGCAGCATTTCATAATGATAGAAGAATTAATCAGGTAGAAATATACAACTATTAGAAATATATGAAGCTCCAAGTTATATAAAGCAAAAACTGAGAGTACAAAAAGAAGAAACAGACAAATTAGCAAATGCAGTTGGAGATTTTCGATACTCCTCCTCTCAGTAAATGACAGAATGAGTAGAAAGAAAAATCACTAACAAGGAAGAAAATTCGAATGCTATCAACCAATTTGAGCTGTCATTTACACAATAATCCATTCAACAAAACAATATACATTCTTTTCAAGCACGCATGGAATATATTCATCATGGAAGACAGTGGAATTTAATTATTTAATTTTTTTATTTTTATTTTTTGAGACAGAGCCTCAAGCTGTCGTCCTAGGTGGAATCCCGTGGCATCACAGCTCACAGCAACCTTCAACTCCTGGGCTCAAGTGATTCTCCTGCCTCCGCCTCCCAAGTAGCTGGGACTATAGGTGCTGGCCACAACGCCTGGCTACTTTTTGGTTGCAGCCATCATTGTTGTTTGGCAGGCCCAGGCTGGATATGAACCTGCCAGGTCTGGTGTACGTGGCTGGTGCTTCAGCCACTTGAGCCACAGGCGCAGACTTTTTTTTTTTTTACAGAGAGTCTCACTTTGTTGCCCTTGGTAGAGTGCCATGGCATCACAGCTCACAGCAACCTCCAGCTCTTGGGCTTAAGCGATTCTCTTGCCTCAGCCTCCTGAGTAGCTGGGACCACAGGCACCCACCACAACACCTGGCTATTTTTTTTGTTGTTGCAGTTTGGCCGGGGACAGGTTTGAACCCACCACTGTTGGTATATGGGGCCAGCGCCCTACTCACAGAGCCACAGGCACTGCCTAAAATAAGTCTTCTTTTTTTGTAGGGGGGGCTGGTTTTCAACCTGCTACCTCTGGTATATGGGGCCGGCACCCTACTCCTTTGAGCCACAGGCACTGCCCTAAAATAAGTCTTAATAAATTTAAAAGGACTGAAACTCACGGCTGGGCACAGTGGCTCACACCTGTAATCATAGCACTCTGGGAGTCAGAGGTGGTGGATCACTTAAGCTCAGGAGTTCCAGACCAGCCTGAGCAAGAGTGAGACCCTTCTTTATCAAAAATAGAAAAACCAGCCAGGCATCATGGTGGGTATCAACAGTTCTAGCTACTTGGGATTACTGGGGAGGCTGAAACACCAGGATTGCTTGAACCCAAAAGTGTGAGGTTGCTGTGAGCTATGATGACTCCACAGTACTCTACCCAATACAATAGAGTAAGACTCTGTCTCAAAAAAATAAACAAAAGGACTGAAATTCAGAAAATGTTCTCTGAAAAATGAAGAGTTAAGGATTTCACCACAAAGGTGCCAGCCACATACACCTAAGGTGGCGGGTTCAAATCCAGCTGGGGCCCGCAAAAAACAACAACAACAACAACAACAACAAAACAATGATGGCTGCAACCAAAAAATAGCCAGGCATTGGCCTGTGGTCCCAGCTACCTGGGAGGCTAAGACAGGAGACTCACTTGAGCCCAGGAGTTGGAGGTTGCTGTGAGCTGTGATGCCACCGCACTCTACCCAGGGGAATAGCTTGAGGCTCCGTCTCAAAAAAAAAAAAGGATTTCACCACAAAATCATTATAAGAGTAGTAAAAGAACTTTATCTTCAATGAATATTAAGACCAGATATCCTTCTCCTTAGGGTATTTACAGAGCCTAAAAGGACAATGAGGAAAAGATTCTATGAAAGAAAACTCTTCCAGATTTTATACCTCAAGAAATGGGATATATTTTTGGTTATTCCACTTGAATATGTCTGACTTGATGTCATTACTGAGGCTAGAGCTTTCAAGTCACATGTGGCTCCAAAATATGCAATCCTTAAGACTTCCAATTTCTTTTTTTTTTTTTTTTTTTTGAGACGGAGCCTCAAGCTATCCCCCTGGGTAGAGTGCCATGGCATCACGCTCAAAGCAACCTCCAACTCCTGGGCTCAAGCGAGTCTCCTGCCTCAGCCTCCCAAGTAGCTGGGACTACAGGCGCCTGCCACAATGCCTGGCCATTGTTTTTTTGGTTGCAGCCATCATTGTTGTTTGGCGGGCCCGGGCTGGGGATTGGAACCCGCCACCTTAGGTGTATGTGGCTGGCGCCTTAGCCGCTTGAGCCACAGGCGCCGAGCTGACTTCCAATTTCTTAACAGATTATTGTGTATTATTTCTTTTTCAGATTATCACACTCTGCCAAGTCTATGGTAATAACATGGCTTTTACAAACAGGAATTATATCACAGCTTCTGTGGCTGTCAAAAAAAAAACAAATAGGAACTATAATTTTGAATTCTATAATTCTAGAATCAAACGAAAATAGCTTAAGATTAAGATAAAAAGAATTAAAAATGCAAGGCGGCACCTGTGGCTCAGTGGGTAGGGCGCCAGCCCCATATACCAAGGGTGGCAGGTTCAAACCTGGCCCTGGCCAAACCAAAAAAAAAAAAAAGAATTAAAAATGCAGCAATTTCTCTGAACTTGCCTATCTCTACAGAAATCATTGATGCTGGGCCAGGTACTGTGGCTCACACGTGTAATCCTACCACTCTGGGAGGCCCAGGCAGGTCTTGAGTTCACATGAATTCACGATCAGCCTGAGTCAGAGCGAGACCCCATCTCCAAAAATAGCCGAGCCTTGTGGTGGGTGCTTGTAGTCCCAACTACTCAAGAGGCTGAGGAAAGATAATTGCTTAAGTCCAAGAGTTTGAAGCTCTACCAAAGGTGACAAACTGAGATTTTGTCTCAAAAAAAAAAAAAAAAAAGAAAAGAAAAGAAATCGTTGGTGCTTCCAGGGACTTTGAATCTACAAACAGGTTAATTAGCAGCAGAGGGTGAGTATGAATGTGTGCAAGCATATAGGTGCATTTGTTGGAGTTAGGTGCCAAGAAAAAGATTTGAATGTGCCATATAGGAAAGATTCTAGATTCTAGAGCATGATTTGGCAAATTACAGCCCCTGGACCAAATGTGTCCTACAGCCCATAAATAAGATCTTATTGGAACACAGACACGTTCATTCATTTACATATTATCTATGACTGCTTTTGTGCTATAACAAGAATTGAAAGTTGTGACAGAGACCATATGGACTGCAAAGCCTAAAATATTCACTAACTGGCCCTGTATAGAAAAAGTTTGCTAACCCTTGATTTAGAGCAAAGATGGGTTGCTTGCTCAGAGTCAAATATGTATTAGGAAACAAATATTGAGATACATCACTTATACCACTTATTTTAAAATTACCAACAGAAACAGAAAACTGCTATATAAAAATTTACAAATTCAAGGCATGATTTGATAAAGGCCCACGCCTAAGAAAATAACCAGTTTCTCACCTGGTATTTTGGTGCATTGTTGCATTGTGGAAAACTGCCATTGACTTCCCCATTATGTAGTAGATTATTGTCCACTAGATTCCAGCCCCAGCTCTGGTCATCACTGCCCAGCAATGCCACATAACCTTGGCACTGCATGGGGGCCCGTTTTGTGGCAATTCCAATCACCGCCACAGTGCCCAGAGGGCCCTCCCACCACACTTCCCATGCATGGCGGCCCTCACTAAAACCAATCTTGGTCCTTGCACCATCAGTGCTCTGAGCAATGGGATTTCGATGTAAAGTAAAGCCATTCTTCTTAATGTATACATTCCTGGAGCAGTCATTAGTGCTGAAGGCATGTTGGAAAGCACGTACCTGAAAAGATGAAAAACAGACCAAAGAAAAAGAAATTTGATTTTGCTTAAATATTAAAAAGTACCCAAACTTCAGGTTATATGCTTTTAAATAATGAAGTCATATATTTTTAAATAACACAAGTCTTTCCAAATAATAGCTACATTTTGAGATGCCATACTAACTTAATTACATAACATTAAAGAATCACTGCCAACTATTTCTAGACCAAAATCCTAAATTGTAGTATAATTTTTCCAAATAGATTTCTTAAGACATCAAAATATGTAAGATTCAATCAAAGGAGCAGGATTCTAAAAACAAAAAATCATGAAGAGCTATATATAAGAACCCTTAGAGATTATACTGAAATGTTTGTGGATAAAATAACATCTGAGAATTGCTTTGAAATATCCAGGTGTGGAGTAGGAGAGTGTGTGATGTAAATATGAAACCAGGTTGGCAATGAATAAGCATTAGTAAAGCTAGGTGATGGGTATAGGGAACTTTATCAAACTATTTTCTCGGGGCAGCGCCTGTGGCTCAAAGGAGTAGGGCTCAGGTCCCATATGCCGGAGGTGGCGGTTTCAAACCCAGCCCCGGCTAAAAAAACTGCCCAAACCCCCCCCTCCAAAACTATTTTCTCTACTTTTGTTTACATTTGATATTTTATATCAAAAAGAGATGCACAGTTTTCATACTGGCAATGTTGTCATCAAAAACAATTATATTTTAAGGCCAGGCGTGGTGGCTCACATCTGTAATCTTAGCACTCTGGGAGGGTGAGGCGGGTGGATTGCTTGAGCTTACGAATTTGAGACCAGGATGAACCAAACTGAGACCTTGTCTCTAAAAACAGCCAGGCATTGTGATGGACGCCTGCAGAGAGGCAAGAGAATCACTTGAGTCCAGGCATTTAAGGTTGCTGTGAGATATGACACCACAGCACTCTACTGAGGGCAACCAAGTGAAAAAAATGTCTCAAAAAAAAAAAAAAGAATTCTATTTTATGTAAAATAGAGATCTTAATCACAGCAGCTCTAAGTTTATGAAAAATTTTAGTAACCACAAACTACCACAGATCCTCAGCATACTTGCTTGGTACTACTCATACACTAAAACATTGCCACTCTCATTTTACCAATCAAATAATCCCCCAGATAGCACCTAAATTCAACCACTAGAATTTATAGGGGTAGTGATTAAGCGCAGCTACCAGTAAGACAGTTGACTCTTCAGTTAATGTAAGTTTTTCAAGTTTCTGAAATAAAGACAATATGAAAATAGCTTTTCTGGACAATTTCTCATATATTAATAATTTAAAATGTTTTATTTTTTTTTAAACTCTACTTAATTTTATTCAAACTAACCCAAACAGCAGAAGACTGGGACTTTAGTAAACCTGAGAAATCAACATTCAGCATCTTGGAATGTGAGCATTAGAAAGGCCCTTAAAGGTGTCCTAGTCCAACTCAGGGTATCAACAGCTAGTTAGAGCAGGAACCCCAAACAGAAGTCAGGTATCCAGTCCCCCTATCATCTATTCATTTACCATTAGTTAGTACTTTACTATTTCATCATTGCACTACAGGGCACAGATATTTTTTTAAGCCCTGTTTTGGGTATCCCATGTATTCATAAGGAAGCTACAAGTAGTCCTAATGTTTTCCCTGTTACCAGTTTTTGGGGTTTTTTTGTTTTTTTGAGACAGAGCCTCACACTGTCCACCCTTGGTAGAATGCATGTTGTCACAGCTCACAGCAACCTCAAACTCTTGGTTGGGCTCAAGTGATTCTCTTGCCTCAGCCTCCCAAGTAGCTGGGACTACAGGTGCCTGCCACAATACCCAGCTGTTTTAGAGATATAATCTCACAGTTGCTCAGGTTGGTCTTGAACTCATAAGCTCAAGCAATCCACCTGCCTGGTCCTCCCAGAGTGCTAGGATTATTATCTGTTACTATTATAACACAGTTTAAAGCACCTAGAAGAGAAGAATATAAGACTAAATGGTGGAGGGCCAGGCCCAGACATAGTAGCTCATGCCTATAATCTCAGCACTCTGGGAGGCTGAGGCCAGGAGTTCAAGACCAGTCTGGGCAACATAGAGATTGTCTTTACTTAAAAAAAAAAGCCAGGCATGGTAGCATGTGCCTGTAGTCCTAGCTACCTGGGAGGCTACTATTCTTAATCTGGGCCATTCAATCTCCTTCATTTCTCTCTCCTGAATGCCTATCCATCTATCACTGTCTATACCACTCAACACTCAATTCTGTAGACCTTTTTTTCCTCTTTTTTTGAGACAGTTTCACTCTGTTGCCCCAATAGTGTGTAATGGCATCATAGCTCACAGCAACCTCAAACTCTTAGGCTTGAGCAATCCTCTGACTTCAGACTCTCCAGTGGCTGGGACTATAGGCATGTACTAATGCCCCAAACTAGTTTTTCTAATTTTTTTGAGACAGAGTCTCAAGCTGTTGCCCTGGGTAGAGTGCCATAGCATCAAAGCTCACAGCAACCTCAAACTCTTGGGCTCAAGCGATCCTCTTGCTTCAGTTTTTTTTTCCCCCTCTATTTTAGTAGAGACGGGGTCTCACTTTTTCTCAGGCTGGTCTCAAACTCGTGAGCTCAAGCTACCCACCTGCATTGGCCTCCCAGAGTGCTAGGATAACAGGTGTGAGGCACCACGCTTGGCCAGTTTTTCTATTTTTTTGTAGAGACAGAGTCTCACTCTTGCTCAGGCTGGTCTCAAACTTCTGAGCTCAAGCAATCTACGCACCTCAGCTTCCCAGTGCAGATCTTATTTTCTTTCTTTTTTCTTTATTTCTTTGCTTTTTTGTTGTTGTTGCTATTGTTGAAACAGAGTTCCACCCTATGCCCTGAGCAGAGTGCAATGGCATCATAGCTCACTACAACCTCAGACTCAGGTTGTGGGCATCCTGCTGCCTCAGCCTCTGGAAGCCACTAGGATTATAGGCACTTGCCATGGTACCTGGCTAGGTTTTTCCATTTGTTTAGGAGTTGGGGTCTCATTCTTGCTCAGGCAAGTCTCAAACTCCTGAACTCTAGCAATTCTCCCTCCTCATCCTCCCACAGTGCTGGGATTATAGGCGTGAGCCACCGCACCTGGCAGATTTTACTTTCTAACACATTGCTAACCATTTGATTCTAGTAAAAAAAAATAAAAACAAAAAACTACCCTGAAAACACAATAAAACAAACAAAAAAAAAACCCATCTCATTGTCTAAATTGACCAAACCTACATAGAAAATATGGAGGACAGATGAGCATGTTAAGCAACACCATGGGAATGAAATCAGTAAAATCTAGGCAGAGGGTAACAATCTGCCTTCTGTATCAAATAAATTACAGGAGTAGGAGGTGGGGGAGATAGCAAGTGAATATGCAGAATAAAATAGCCTTAAGAAACATCACCAAGCAGGCGGCGCCTGTGGCTCAAAGGAGTAGGTGCTGGCCCCATATGCTGGAGGTGGTGGGTTCAAATCCAGCCCCGGCCAAAAATTGCAAAAAAAAAAATCACCATGAGTAAAATAGCCTTAAGATTACATGGTAAACTTATATAGATCTTGATTAAATAAATTATACATTAAAAAGGTAACATTTTATATTTATAAGACAATTGACAATATGAACACTGTATTTTTTATATTAAAGAATTATTCATTTCTTTTTTTTTTTTTTTGAGACGGAGCCTCAAGCTATCCCCCTGGGTAGAGTGCTATGGCATCACAGCTCACAGCAACCGCCAACTCCTGGGCTCAAGCGAGTCTCCTGCCTCAGCCTCCCAAGTAGCTGGGACTACAGGTGCCTGCCACAACGCCTGGCCATTTTTTTTTTTTGGTTGCAGCCCTCATTGTTGTTTGGCGGGCCCGGGCTGGGGATTGGAACCCGCCACCTTAGGTGTATGTGGCTGGTGCCTTAGCCGCTTGAGCCACAGGCGCCGAGCTGAATTATTCATTTCTTTTTAGATGTGATTATATTGTGATTATGTTAAATGTCCTTATTTTTATGGATACTGAAAAATAAAGGTGAAATGGTACCTTTATTTTTGGAAAATAATACCAAATTAATAATAATAATAAAATCATAGTTTCTACCTCATGATTTCATGCATAACCTAAATTTTTATGTTATAGCCAACAGAGATATGGCTTAGGATCTCAGTCTGAAATTTAAAGAATTACAGTTAGATGCTAAGTATGACTAGAATAATTAATGCTACCTCATGGCAAGTAAAGCAAACTTAAAAGAAAGCTCCTAAATGGACTGACCAACTCTACTTTCCAGGTTTATGCTATCCCAAATCTGTTCCCACCCTCCTCTATTACGCAGGCTCCCTAGAAGTTCTATTTGATTCCTTGATCTCCCTCATTTCACTCACCCAATCAGCTGTCCACCTATGTAGAGAACTTCTCTCTACAACAGCACTCCCAGCCATCCCTTTGTCTTCTTTATACACCTGTTCAGGTCTTAAGTATCTCTGGTATAGGGACTCAACTAAAAGCTGCCCTCTCCAAATTCATCTAATGGTCTATTCTTTTTAAAGCACAACTTTTATTTTATCACTTCCCTATTCAAACTTCCAAAGCCAAAACTATATATTGAAGACTGTACTTCAAGGCCCTCCCTGATATATCTAGCTATAACTTACTTTTACAACCATATTTCTTACTACTTACTTCCACTCACTTAAACTAACTAAACTATTTTATGTCTTTAGCTTAGACCTCTCCAATAAGTTCCAACCTGTAACAGCTACCTACCTGAAATCTCTCAGATGTCTCATAAACACTGCAAATTCTAACCTACCCAAACTGAACTCACTGCCTTTCCTCCAAAATCTAGCTCAAGTAATCTCTGTATTAATTGAGTCCAATACCTAGGGTCCTACTTAGCAGCTCCTTCTTCCTCATACCCATTTCAAATCTATTGTCAAGTTCTGTAGATTTTACTTCCTCAATTTCTCTCTATATTCTCCACTACCTACTTCCTAATTGATCTATCATATTTCTAAGGCCCCCCTCCAATCTGTTCTCCATGCTGAAGTTAAAAGTAATTGCTTAAAAATACAAAATAAATATTATCATCAATCCCCACACCCTTAAATCCGTCTTACTTACAATTCAAAATGGCTTTTCTCTAGTTTGGTGGCCCCAGTCCATTTTATTTCAAATGGACATGACATTTCCTCTCTGTGCTCCAGCCATACAGACATATTTTCTGTCCCTCATACTCTCAAAGTTCCCTCATGGAAGGCTGTTCTCTCTTCCGTTGGCCTATTTATCCTATCCTTCCAGTCTTAGTTCATGCATCATTTCCTCTGAGAAAGCCTTTCCTGACCACCCTATCGAGGTCAAATCCCCCATTAATGACACTCACAGTACCAAATGTCTCTTGTTCATAATACTTTTCTTTTTTTTTTTTTTTTTTTT